TAAAAGGGTATTTGTAGTTAGCGCGCACACACATCTAGGGGTAAAAGAGTATTTGTAGTTAGCGCGCACACACACATCTAGGGGTAAAAGAGTATTTGTAGTTAGCGCGCACACACATCATAAATCGTAACATCATAATAAAGAATACTGGTACTTTTAATTTCTTCTTAACATATATTTATCTGCAATATAGTTTCTACAGAACCATATACTTATGATGTTTAGAACTTGTATAACATATATCATTACTAGGCTTGAAATTTATGTAAGACATACAGCTTCTTTTCAATTACCGTAATCACCGGTATTAAAATAAAGATAGCAAGATAGCGAATGCCGAGAAGTGGATTAAATATAGTACAGTATATGTAACCTGGACGTTTATGTTCGAAAGGCTGGATTTCTCAAGTTCGTGGTCACGACATAATGAACCAAACGACCAGAGTGAAGTTGAACTCCGACAAGAGAATCTCCAACCTGACCTCTTGATATCATCGTGTTCGCGCAGGTTTATAAAACCACTTTTGCACTTAGCATTTTATTACTTTATATTTTCGAGAAGTTTTCAGTTGACGAATGTTTTTCATACTGGAAAGTTCTTCATCCACTTGCTGTTTAGAGAGAATTTCGAATATGTTTTGAATTAATTCATGAATTTTTTAAATAAAATTTAGGTTAGATTTGATTTATTTTGTTTGTTTGTTTGTTATTAGGCACAGAGCTACATAATATGCTATCAGTTCTCTGCCCACCACGGGTATCGAAACCCGGTTTCTAGCGTTATAAGTCCGCAGACATACCGCTGTACCAATGGGGGACAATTTATTTTGAATTTCGCGCAAAGCTACACGAGGGCTATCTGCGCTAACCATCCCTAATTTAGCAGTGATAAACTAGAGAGAGAAGGAAAGCAGCTAGTCAATATCACCCACCGCCAACCTTGGGGCTACTCTTTTAACAACGAATAGCAATATTGACCGTCACATTATAGCGTCGCCACAGTGATAGGATTCGAACTAGCGACCAGCCGATTGGGAATCGAGGGCTCCAACCACCAAGCCATGATATTAGAGGAAGCGTATTAGACAGTAACACATAAAACGAACAAAAACAAAACAGTTATCAAACAAAATAACACACTATTTCAATTTTCTAAACAAAACTATGATATTTAACATACAATACAATTCCGGAATCTCAGTAAGAATACCGTTGAAAGGCCACAAGGCGTGGCTTAGAAACGATAAATTATTTTATTTTTAATTTGTCACTAAACAAGGCCGGTTTGCCCGAGAACCCGAGTGAACAAGCTAATACTCAAGATACTTTAAAACTATTGATAGATACAAAAAACAAAACAAAAAAATATCTATTGAAATAATGTTAAACGCTACTATTTCTCTTTTCATTTCTTGTAGAAGCTTGCAAAATACCTAGTCCATCGTCTCTCCATGTTTGCAGGCTTGTCAAATAGCCAGTCCATCGTCTCTCCATGTTTACAGGCTTGCCAAATACCCAGTCCATCGTCTCTCCATGTTTGCAGGCTTGTCAAATAGCCAGTCCATCGTCTCTCCATGTTTGCAGGCTTGTCAAATAGCCAGTCCATCGTCTCTCCATGTTTGCAGGCTTGCCAAATACCTAGTCCATCGTCTCTCCATGTTTACAGGTTTGTCAAATACCCAGTCCATCGTCTCTTCATGTTTGCAGGCTTGCAAAATACCCCGTCCTTCGTCTCTCCATGTTATATAATAGTCTTGAAGTCTTGTCTCAGTGATTATTTTGTGGAGCTATTTTCAAAGTTATATAAATCTGCTGCAAAAATCCCACTCCCCTCCGATGTTTCATGTTTGAGAGTCGATCCCTGCGGTTGGCATAGCACAAATAGCCCATTGTGCAGCTTTGTGCTTAACAACAAAATATCGCAGAAGGCTCTTATTAAACCGTTACAAATGGTGCTATCGGTTATATCAGCTGGCGATCACCACACAGATATTTCTGTTGTTGCTCCTAAAGCTTTAGTTATTAGTTAGGAAGGTAAGAATTCATGTACGAGGAGGATTTCTTCATGAGAAAATCAAGATAATATTTACGACACTGTTCAGAAAATCAAATTAACGAACAACCAAACACGTCTCCATCTCCCTGAAACACAGATACGCACCTCCTACGGCTACAGGAGGAGGAGATTTACAAAACAGCGCGGCTTGTTTATGAACCCGAAGGGAGGAGCAGAACAGAACACATTCTTTAGGACGTGTATCTGTAATACGGCATAACTTAATTTTTCAAACAACTTGACTCTCAGGTTTTACATGTGGTACGAGAGAAAAACGATATATATAGAGAGAGAAAAAAAAAAGTTCAATTTGCAAGGTTGCGAACGGCCACAAAATCCCGGAAAATAATCCCGAAAGCTGCCTTTAGGCTGATTTATAGGTGTACCCCCATACACATAATGTTAGGGTCTACCTAAAATGTTCGAGGAATGTGACTACATGACAACGTTGAGATATGATATATTGAACAAGTTCTATTTCACTACAGTTTAACCTGCCGACACGGTAACGGTGATTTTCGTCCTCTTATATCAGATTGTAAAAAAAAAAATCACTCCTGTAGAAAGGAATTGCGATAATATTTACATATTTCGTAAATAACACTGTTGTAATTTAAAGGGTATTAAACTACGTGCACGAGAATTGACAATAAAGCTTATTATGACTTACAGCAATTCATATGAGAAATCCACAGGCAGTCATATAGTTAGTATTGTTTCATATTATTATTATTTCACATTGTTGGTGTCCGTAAAAAACAAACAAAA